AAGAAAAGTCTTTGAGACTTGTAAGTTACATACAAGATCCAAACGTTCACCATCATTCTTAGAAAAAATTCCATTTTAAACAGGTTGATAAAAATGTATAGCCTGCAACAAAACTGTGCTAATACACTCTGGATATAATTCAGACGCACTCTGTAGCTTGAAAAAAACCCATGTTACTAGCAAGCATTTTATTTATTTTTATTTTAATAGCAAAGTTTGTTTTCAAAGCAAGCTTGAAGTCTGCATACAAAGAAAATGCAGTGTAATTTTAATACTGCATCTGGCAGTACTGTAGAGCAATGCAATAGCCAGCCTGAAGGCAAGCCTGAGTATTGCAACACCAGCTCCAGATGTGCTTCTGCAGCAACAAGTAAAACAACCTCTGTGTCTGTTCCACCGGGAAAAACGTAAACTGTCTTTTCAGCTAACCAAAGCATCTTGGGAGAAAAACAACCCCTTTACTGAAAAACACCATGTTCTTTTCTAGAATTAATTCCTTACTTCTGCAATAGCAAGTTATACTGGTTTCCCCAACTCCCAGAACAGGAAACTGTCTGCTTTCCCCTGGTTTTTTTTTGGTGTTGCTGATTTTGGTGGTTTTTGCATGGTTATGTATAAAACTTAAAACTTTGCCACAGGACAACGTGTGGCTGCAGACCCATGGCTCACAGCATGGCAGCTATGATGGCACAACAACTGCAGCTTGAAAACTGTTAAGAGCCCACCAGAGTGGCTCTAAATCTGCAATCTGCAGGCTGACAGAGGTAAGTGCACGAGCTCTATGGAAAACTAGAAGTACGTCTAGAAAATGCTTACCTATTTCCCCAAATCTTTCTGTCGTACTGTTCTAATTTTGGAAAAATCTTGTTAGGAACTGGAGGGATTGGGGAAAGAAGAATTTTTGTAAGAGTCAAAGACTGAACAACAATCTCAGCCTCTATGGAAATTAACAATAGGCAGCAAACATTTTTGGTTGTGTAACACTAAGTTTATGTTTCTGTTTGTCAATGAAGATGAAAATTAATCAAGTTCCTTCATAAAGTTGAGCAACATCCATATTTTGAGCACGTCATGGTTAAAAACCCAAAGTTTCTCCATTACACCTATTTTTAAGACAGACTAGAAGGTGGGTGTTTATAAAAAGGAGAAATCTAATCACATCCATGCTGTTTTGTGAGTTCTGCAAGAAGTTAGTATAGCACTCAGTCTGTAACCCAATTTATTTTTAAAATTTTGCTATTTCTTCACAGAGCAACTTTGGCCAACCTATCTTTGCAAGTGTTTGACGCACAGCCACCATACTCAGTTATGCATCAGATGCCATGCACCGATCCTATCCTCCAGGTGACTCCTATTTAAAATACTCTGTTTTTCATTAAATGAGTTGAAGGGAACAGCAGCAAGTTTCATTAAAGATTTTGTCTGAATAAGCTGTCCCTGTTTATATAGAATATTGGTTTAGATGTAGCAAATTTTGATGACAGATCAGAACTTAATTCACTACAAATTATTTTCCTCTGTTGCAAGAAAGGACTGGTGGAAAAGAGGAAGAGGGAAAAAAAACTATCAGAAGTTAAATCTTAAATATTTACACTTTAAATATTTACACTTCAAGTTAAAAAACTGTATCCTCAACCATCGCATATAACTTGTTTCATTCAAACGTGAATTAAGACAGAAAATGTGAGAGGATTTAATTACTGACTAGTTCAGCAAGATTCTAAGGAAGTAAAATTGTGTTTTAATACTCAGAAAACATGTAAACTGTACTGAGTAATAATGCAGCTGTCCTTCCATTTGCTTCATGAAGTAAAATGGAAGAGGCTGAATTAATCACTGAGCACACCTATGCAACTGCTTAACAAATGTGGATAAAGAAGGTTAACAAGAAGCCTAAAACAGCACAAATATTGAGTTAGGATTACAATAATATATACAAAAGTGTGGTGGTTTTATGCTGTTCAAGGACTCGTAACAGAAATCCATCAAGCTATGGGTTAAAGCCCCAGCTGAAAACTTCCTACCGCAAACACTCTAAGTCAGTTGTGACAACAGGCAGCTTATGACCAACACCACTTTAGGAGCAATCCATCCCCCAAACAGGCTTCAGACTAAAATCCCAATCTCTGATTAGACGTCTTATAATCCACAGATTGCTAGCTCTAGTAGATTATTACAGTGAATTTTCTATCATAAATCAAAGATCAAGCTTTAAATTCAGGGCATATTTACATTTGGGTGCTCCTATAACTTAACAACACAGAACTTTAATGCACTGAACGCAGAATTTAGAAGTTATCTCTGCTTCTAAACCAAAACTGTTGTTCATGACAGTGTTTTAAACAATCACAGTAGTGTTTCATGAAAAGCTCATAGCAAGAACAGCAATAAAAATAAATTAAATAAAAAATAAAATAAAAATAAAATAAAATAAAAATAAATAAAAAATAAAATAAAATAAAATAAAAATTGTGCCTTCCAGTGACAAAAGCATTGGTTAAACACATCAAATATTTATTTATTTACAATTAAAATCTGAATCTTCACATGATGTCATGCAGGTTTCCTTTCTTGGAAGCAGATGATTTTTAGAAGAAGCCTAGAAGCCTCATTTCTGTACCAGTATCTACCCTTACCAATACTGCAGAAACTACAATGTAAGATGTTTTACGTATCTTTTGTATAAATACAAGCAAACTCATCAGTTCTCTCTTCTGGAAAGTAACTTCACTGCATTAAGAGTGTACTGCATCTTGCTGTTGCAATAGCTGCATAACACACAATTATCTGCTCCTTACATGCTTCTAGGGTAGAAGCTGAGGATGTGACTTGTTAAGCAAACAAGAAGATTTCATTCAAATTTATATATTTCAGGTATTTCTTTCCCAACTGAGGGAATGTACTCAAACTCAAACCTTCAGTACCAAAGCTGACAAATACTCTTTTGGAGAACACATTAGGAATGTTTCAACACACAAAGCTGGCCTGAAATATCCCAGAAATATTTTTCAGGATATGCCTATTCACCAAAATTTACAAGACTCTGCAAAACACTTCTGAACTCATAACAGGTGACAGACGTTACGACACTCTGCCTCCCTTCCCACCAATGTCACCTGCTCTGCTCTCAGCAGCACCTTCGCTAGGATAAATGACAAGCAAAGTGCTTAAACTCACATCCAAAGATTTTAATCTCTTCAACAGCTTTGCTTGACAGCCTCAGGGCTCATCCGCAGCTTCTCAAGAAGCTTCTCAAGAAGCTAACTGGAATCAAGGCTCTTCCATCAACCAGCGCTGCCCACTGCCTTTGACTGACCCCACACTAGTAAACGCTGCAACTGTGCCATACCCTTTGTCTGTAAGGATTATACAGGCCCCGTAAACTGTGAAGAAACATACGGAGCTGTTTTCGGGCCAGCTAGGTCTATGCTCAGTATGCTGGAAGCAGTGTTCAAAACTGTGAAGTTGTATGAAATGTAGCCAAAACAAATCAATTCCCAAAGAACTTCCAAATATACTCAGCAAAGCAGTTTTGGTTTTTTAAGTGGAATTTCCATTTTCACTGTGCTCAGGAGCAGCTTCAAGGTAAAAACTGAAGACATGTACTGTACCCTAAGTCTGCTGAGAAGCAAACTGGAAACGTGGGGGGAAAAAACCATAACAGCTATACATGGAGAGACTGAAGGGCAGAATACACACTACCCAAAACCATATTTTTAATTAAGTAGCTTTCACAGATATATTTTCTAGAACTTGATCAGTAAGTGCATTTGCTGGAGGGTAAAACCTGCAGAACCGCTTTTTGAGAATTAGATATTCCTTGGCCTCTTATTAGACAAACAGCCAAGGTATAAAAGAGTAATTATGCTTTCAAATGTATTTGCAAATATTCTTTTTTATCATATATCGGATAAAGACAAGGACAGTCCAGTAGTTAGACAAAACAATTCTAAGTCCAAACTTAAACACTAAAAGAATACTTGGAGTTCCCTCAGTGGTGTAAAGAAATGAAATGCAAAGCTCCCAATCTAAACAGACGTGCAATAGAAGCAACGGACTGGTCCCAAAGAATAAAGCAGCTTCCTACGTTATTTTACACCATGTACGTGACATGTTAAAGAACAAATTTCGGGTCTGCACACATAACCAGTCCTCCTAATGGAAGAATATGAAGTATGTAACAATTGAAAAGAGAATATTGTTTATTTATTGCTCCATTTTCAGGCTACAAAATGCCTATTTCTGATTTTTACCAACAGGGAGACAGAAATCGTATTAGTTCACACAAGAATACAACATAGCACGTGAGTCAGTTTTTGACAGGCACAACAGCATTACAGGAAAGTCTCTACATTCTATCTATTAAACTAGACCCTAAGAAACTAATGACCGATTCCCACAGCTGCCTAGGAATGTATGTATTTACGGGAGACGCCATAGCATTGAAGCATAACACTCAGCTGCAGGAAAGGCACCAGAAAGCACCTGCCCTGCAGCATGTCACCCCGCCTGCAGCCCGCGGAGCAGCTGCTCGCTGTCACCCTTCGCTACCGAGGAGAAAAGCAAGCTCCCTGCCCTGATGAGAAAGGCAGGAAGGATAAGGAGTCAAAGCACGGTAGCACCAAGAAAGGCAATTCGGGAAAACGCAACAAGTCTTTGAAGAAGAAGAAACTGCGAGACTGAGTGAGGTAAAGAAACGCCTCTTGCCCAGGGTAGGACGCGGAGACTCCCTCCTCAGCCCACCCCGCTGGTATCTCTACAGAAGAATCGATGCGAGGGCACAGACTTAGAACAGGACCCCAGCGTTCGGCCGCTGTTCGGGGCCAGCTGGTCGAGCAGACCCCGGCAGGGCAGGGGGGTGGGACGGGCCCCGGAGAGCGCTGGGCTGGGTCGAGGCGTCCAGCGGGTCCCCGGGCAGGCAGGGCCGTGCAGCACCAAGGAGAGCAGGCAGGGCGAGCGCCCACCCGGGCAATCCCGCCCTGCTGGGCGCCATCGGGCACTCTTCCCTGCAGCACCAGCGGCTCGGGGTTGAAGGCGAGGGTGATGAGGAGCTGCATGCGCTCCGAGTCCTTCAGGTTGCGCAGCAGGAAGCTGCCCGAGTCCTTGGTCTCGGCGTAGCGACGGACCAGGCGGTCAAGCAGGCGCTGCGAGGGGCAGTGCACCAGGTCCGACCAGCCCTCTACGGCGTCGGGGGTGAGGAGCCGCACGTCGCCGTTGAGACTCGCGAACTCGGTGGCGTGCAGG